TTTCTGTCCACGTAATGACCTATCGTCAGTGTCCTTTAGGCAATTTGGAAAAATATTTTTCCACTTTCGTTACTATCGACCTTTTAAGTTTGACATATTTTGTTATGCCTCAATAATCTTTGTTTCGGTGATCTGTTCTTTAACTTCTTTCACATCACACTTTTTGAAATGAGAAGCGTCGGATATCGTACCTGACTGCCATTTCTGTAGATGGCATTCGAATAAAAATGGAACCGTTTCAAATTCCTGAAAGGACGTTTCTTTTTTTTTTTTGTTTCACTAAATCTTAACCCAATATAAGGCCCAAGAACCACTCAAGTCAAAAGGTTAATAAAATACAACAATATCATTTGCTAACACTTAATTCTTGGGTGACCCTGCCTACGTTAATACAACGAAGAAACGGTGTGACACTATTTAGCGGTCGCGTGAAAATGAAAAGCGAGAAATAATTAAGGCGAGAAGAAGCTGAAATAATTATTCGTAAGACATCGGATCTGTGGAATTAATTTATGTTATGACGCGGTTAAAGAAGATAGCAATCTGCCCATGGCAATAATGAAAATTTCAAATTGGTCAAGTGGCCTACAAAACAGAATGCTAAGAGATAATGTTAATTAGGCACGTATTGACCGAGAAAGACCTCAGTTGAGGACCACTCCCAACGAGAGAAGGAAAGGAAGGGAAAAGAGAAAGGAAAGGAATAAACCATTAACTATCTTTCGGAGATGTCATTGTTTTTTGGAAAGAGACCACCTGTTTTATTGTCCAAACCGGGACATGATAAAAGTTTGATACCAGGATAGTTAATTAACGACAGAATGCGAATACGTCCAGTTAAACCACCCACTTGACGCTGGCGAAAATCTTGATTGATAAAGTCCAGGTGACATTCGGTTAAGATAGAGATTAGGGACCACACCACATGTCGTGGGAGGTCTACTCGGGGAAGAGAAAGAAAGAAAAAATAAAGGAAGATATTTTTTCTTTCCTTTGAGCGATAATTGCAACCCCCCCGCTGCTGAGGGTTCATTGGCTGAATGGTGGCGTGAGCGGTAGGCGAAGGTAAACTATGAGAAAGGAGGGGGAACCTGTTGACGCCCTCTGAGGGGATTGATATGAGATACCAATATGAGAAAGGAAGAATTTGGGAGGATGATTCCCTTAAAGTAGAAAGTAATGGACTTCCAAAAATGGAAAGTAATAAATTTTCCTGCCCGAAAACAAAGAAAATCCTTATTGTGGATTTAGAATTATCAAGGAACCTCAAACCCCGACAGGCCCACTCCGGTTTTGGTCGGCGTCCATATAAGCAGAGTCAGTAACACAGAAAGCAGTTGGAGTTGCAGTTAGAGAGAGAGAGAGAGAGAGAGAGAGAGAGAGAGAGAGAGAGAGAGAGACGCAGAATTGAGCTGTGAGCTCTGAGACCCGCCTCGCAGAAAGCTGACTGAAGGACATCGACGCATTCTGACTTCAACTTCTAACCAAAAACAATTTATTTTTGAAGAACGACTTAGACTCACACCACCAAAACAAGTTTTACGAATATCGCCTGAAGACACCAAAAACCAGTTTCTTGAAAAACAATTTAAGATGTTAAGACTCGCTTAACAAACACAAAGTGTCACGAATCCATATTAGCGGTTTGGGAGAAAGATGCAGTCCTGTATTCAGAAACCAGATATAAAATATTGTTATTCTTTTTTTAACTCATTTGAACTTTTCGAGTTGTTACTTTATTTTCTTTTACATATACTTGTGCGACTGATTGGTTTCGTCTACCTAAGATCAAATCACAACGTGGGTAGGTTAGACTAGAAATCAAAGCAGTTACTTCGGTAACCAGACGTTGGAGGCGAGCTGGGAACGACAAAGCTGATACCGAATCTAACCAGATTCCCATCCGAATCAGCAAAGGGTTAGAACGTCACATTTGGTGCCGCGACCAATACCAAGTCACATTGGTCGTCACAGGATAGGACGAAGTGTGGGGCAGAGAGGCCGCGGGGTGACGTCACAACGGGACTGGAAAACAAAGTGAAGATCATGAGAGTACATATGAAATGTAACGGTTGATTCAAGACTTGAAGAGATTAAGATTATAGTTTATAGGTGAAGGTCGATCCTAGATTAAAGGGATTAAGATTAGACTCTATAGATAACGTTTGATCTTAGACTTAAAGAGGTTAAGATTATAATCTATACGTAACGGATGGTCATAGACTTTTGGAAGTTTCGATTATAGACTTATAGGAAACGGTAGATCGAAGACTTGATTATATTCAGTAGATAACTGTTGATCCTAGACTTGAATACATTAAGATTATATTCTATAGGTAACGGTTGATCCTACCCTTAAAGAGATTAAGATTATACTCTATAGGTAACGGTTGAACCAAGATTGAAGAGATTAAGATTATAGTCTATAGGCATTCATTTTTTTTTAGATTGAAGGGATTAAGATTATACTCTATAGATAAAATTTGATCCTAGACTTAAAGAGGTTAAGATTATAGTCTATACGTAACGGATAATCCTAGACTTGAAGAAGTTTGGTTTATAGTCTTATAGGTAACGGTTAAACCAAGATTGAAGAAATTAAGTTTATAGCCTACGAGTAATGGTTTATCTTAGATTGAAGGGATTAAGATTATACTTTATAGATAAAAGTTGATCCTAGACTTAAGGAGGTTAAGATTATATTCTATACGTAATGGATGATCCGAGACGAGGAAGTTTCTATTATAGTCTTATTGGTAACGGGTGAACCAAGATTGAAGAGATTAAGATTATAGTCTATGGGAATTTTTTTTTTTTAGATTGAAGGGATTAAGATTATACACTATAGATAAAAGTTAATCCTAGACTTAAAGAGGTTAAGATTATAGTCTATGCATAACGGATGATCATAGACTTGAGGAAGTTTCGATTATGGTCTTATAGGTAACGGGTGAACCAAGATTGAAGATATTAAGATTATAGTCTATGGGTAAAAGTTGATCCTAGACTTAAAGAAGTTAAGACTGTATTCCATAGGTAGCCTGTTAATCCTAGACTTTTATTCGTTAAGATTATATTCTATAAGTAATGGTTGATCCTAGACTTAAAGAGATTAAGATTATAGTCTATAGGTAACGGTTGATCCTGAGACTTGAAAAGGTTAAGACTATAGTCTAGAGGTAACGGTTGATCTAAGATTGAAGTGGTTAAGGTTATAGTCTATAGTTAACGGTTGGTCCAAGACTTGAATAGGTTAAGATTATAGTTTATCAGGTAAGCATCCTTTCAGGAGTCTGTCCTCAAAAGTAACACTTTTTTGGAAAGTAGCGGTCTGAATGGAATGTGATCCTTACCAATGGAACACGAATAGAGATTTGACTCTGTGTACGCAACATGGGGAGTCCTAGATGTGAAGGTCTGAAATGGTGGAAATAATGGATGAACATTTGTCGTGGAAATAGCGAGAGAGTAGTGTGAGGATAGCAGCATTTTTTTTCTGAAAGTAATTCTTCAACCATTCGCTTTTGAACTCAATGTCAGTGCTGGAAGGCGAGGTCTGGGTAGCAGCCGCCCAAATATGTCTACAATAATCTTCTATGTACCGTGTCCCTTCAGGACGTTGGCGATCATGGCTCTCCTCAATTCCCTGTCCTTTCTAGCTCTTAATACAATTTTTACTTTCTGATATTTCCCATAAGCTCACACAGGCGCGCACACACCCATACACCTTTAGTACCTAGACTTTATGAATTTAAGCTTACGTTCGCTGAAACAGCGGTTCCTGTACGATCACTGAAGTTAAGCAACGTCGAAGCTGGCCAGTCACTTGATGGATGTCCGCCAGGGAATACCAGATGCTGTAAACTTCGACGTACGGGTGCTGAAATGGTTAAAGGCTCAGAATGAGAACTTGGAGAGCCGAGTTCCAATTCCAGTCGGGATTGTCATATTCGTTTATGTGCAAATAACCTTGAGAAAGGTTTATGTGCAAATAACGTTTTCTCCTTCCAACTATGGTTTAAATACTAAAACTTGTATCAGAAAATAATTGTTATTATCTCCCAAAATTCTTATTGTCTAAAAATATGTTTCGGATGTAAGTAACTTGAAAAAGATTGAAAAAACGTACCCCCCCCAAAAAAAAAACAACAACAAATCAACCAATTATATTTATGGATTTAAGCGCAGTACTAGATTGGCGGTTAGGTATCTTCATATAACAGTGGAAATGGCTAGAAATAACCGTAAGTTCTATGCTAATAGTTTCTTTTCTCGCTTGTGGAATTCTCTTCTGGCCTGTTGCTTTCCAGTCAACTTTGATTTTGAAAAAATTAAATTCAATATCAATCGTCATCCGTCTTATTAATTACTTTTTTTTTTCTCTCTCTCTCTCTCTTCTTAATATTTTCTTCTTTCAATAACGCCTTGCGTCTCAGTGACTTTATTACCTTGCTTTGTGTTAAATGATTATAGAAATATAAGTAATGTTTCTCTTGATAAAGTTTGTTTATTTACAAATTCGTCGGTTTTGAATGGAAAGAATTTATATTTGTTTTGTCTTAATTCAGTTTATCATTTAGAAAAATATCAATGTGTTTAAAGAAAACGTATGGTAAACGTGATCTTACTTTCCAAAAATAAAAAAATGAATTGACTGAATGATTAATTGGTCCTTTTTTACGGCTTATCAACCCTTTTCAGGTTATTTAAAGTCAGAATATATTTTTCGATTGTTGAAATGCGGAGTGGGGGAGAAAGTGTTATTTAAATCCAGAAAATAGTTTTAGATTGTAAGAATTTGTTTTTAAGATAATAATAATAATAATTTAGTCATACACGCCTTACTAATTAACCGATAGCTGGAGGAGAAGAGGTGCATTCATACCTTTCCTAAGAGTATTTGCGCGTAAGTGAATATAACGAACCCAACGTGATTTGGAACTCGGCCCTCCGGTTAACAATTCCGTGCCATTATCCATTACACCACCCGCATATCCAAGCTTACAGCACCTGGTATTCCCAAGTGGTCACCCAAATTCTCCCCAGGTTCGTCGTTGCTTAAATTCCGTGATCGTAGGGGAACCGGTGTGTTCAAACTGATATGGATAATGATGAAGGACGACTTGGAGAATTTGAGTCACAGTGCATATCAAAGGGAAGAGAGAAACGGAAAGTTAGGGTTTTACCTAACTGACGAGTTTGTGTGAATAGACTGCCGAATGAGGGGCGAAAGGCAAGGGGACGAACATTACTATAAACATAAGAAATAGAAGGTTGTGGAATCCAGTGGTCGCGCAATTCCTAGTGAAACACGGACGTAGAAGATAATGATGAAGAAGGAGGAGGAAACTTCTATTAAAAATGATTTTTTTCTGTTCGTAGAACGGATATTTGGCTAGTCAGTAAAATATTTCGTCTCTTTGTTTTTTCTTCCTGCTTTTCTATGGTCAGTTACATTGCAATGTCGAAATCGTTCGGTGAGTGGCTGATAATGTCCATGGTAGATATACCAAAAGGTTAGTTCTTGTGAGACTTGAGGTAATAATAAGTATGTGAGGGAGAGGACATAAGAAAAGTCTGCTGGGAATTAATAGATAAAATACTGTGTAATGGGGAAATGGACAAGGAGAAGAAGAAGAAGAAGAAGAAGGGGGAGGAGGTGGAGTAGAAGAAGAAGAAGGAGGAGGGGAAGAAGAGAAGGAAGAAGAGGAGGAGAAGAAGAATAAGAAGGAGGAGGAGGAAGAGAAGGAGGAGGACGAGAAGAAGAAGGAGGGGGAGGACGATAAGAAGACGAAGAAGGAGAAGAAGAAGGAAAAGAAGAAGGAGGATGAGGAGAAGGAGGAGGATGAGGAGAAGAAGGTGGAGGAGGAGGAGGAGGAGGAGGAGAATAAGAAGGAGGAGGAGGAAGAAGAAGAAGAAGAAGAAGAAGAAGGAGGAGGAGGAAGAAGAAGAAGAAAATTTCAAAGGAAGGCAAGTACCCAAGTAGAAAAATGAAGAAAACATGTGGAGATCGAAGAAAGAAAACGAAGGAAGAACATGAGATCAAATGGAAGAGAAAGATGATAATAAAAAAAAAATAGGTAAGAAAGAAAAAAATGAACGAACGAGAATAAATATAAAGTAAGAAAAAGATGATGAATAGTAGGAAAAAAACTCTCTCTCTCTCTCTCTCTATATATATATATATATATATATTCATTCAATAAATTAAAAAAGCAAATGAAGAAGTAAGAAAAGAAAAAGAAGACAGAGATAAGAAAGACGTGAGAAGATGGAAAAGTAGGAACTAAAGAAGAAAGAAAATAACAAATAAAAAGCAAAAAAAAAAAACCAGAAAGAGAGGTAAAAGAAAAAAAGATCAAAATGAACTGCGAGAAAAAGGAAGAGAAGGAAGAAGCTACAGAAAGAATGACAGCCAAATGAGGATAATATAAGAATGGCTATGATAAAAGCAATGCACAATCGTACAGATGTGCCCCCCTATTTTTTCTTTAATAAATTGAACTCAGTAGGCTACTGGAAGTAAAAGAGGAGGAGAAAGACATTAGAAGGAACTGGAAACCCAATAGTAGTAAAAGAATTCAGAGCTTAGGCGGATATGTTAGAAATCTAGTTGAAGTAGAATATAGAAAGAACCGGAAACGCAATCCTAAACAGGAAACAAGGGATAAACCCTCTTCTCCTGTTCAAAGTACGGTGAGGAGTGCGAACCGGATAATAGATAAACCTATCTACTGCTATTGTGGAAAGAAAAAAAAATAGATAGTAAAATTTTCAGAGTTTAGGCGGAGATGTTAGAAGTCTAGAGTTGAAGTAGAATTTAGAAAGAACCGGAAACGCAATCATAAGCAGGAAACCAAGGATAAAACTTTCAATGACCAGGAAGGTGTGTAAACTAAAAATAGCGACTGAGGGTGTTTCCACTTATAGAGATGTGACCCCCACAAGTCACTTTGGCTACTTGATTACCTCATTCTTCAAACTGAAATAAAAATAAGACATTTGGCTATTAAGCCCTTTCAAAATATCCGCTCCTGAACGGAGATGTACAATTCGTTAGCTTCTAGAGAGCATGTCCAACTTGGTTAATTTCAGGCAACTGACAAGCAAATCTGTGGCAATGGACGGGGTAATTACGGCCCGTCTTTATTAAACTAAGAGAAAACATATACATATTAACAGCACCAATCATTTAAGATAAAAAGCTATGAGAGTCAAACTTGGTGTACCATCAAGATATTATCGTTATTATTATTTTAAAAATCAAGTAACCGTTATTCTCTTGTAGACGAGGATGGTGATCTAACACTGGAAAAAAGCCAGCGAATCCAATACTGATAGTGTAGATAAACAGGAAGACATGTACCCAACTTTTGAAAGCTTGATCCAAAACGTTGTTTCTTAACTCACATCTCCACACCTGACCAGTATGATTAGTAAATATCAACACTTAGTCATTATAGAAACAGTATGAGCTGTCATCGTTATAGGAGTTATATTATTAGAACAAGTAGTCGCAAAGGAAGAGAAAAGTCTAGAAAAATTGTAGTATGTCAGTTATTCTGCACCAAAGGGATATTTTTTATAAGAGAACCGATCAGTGATGAGCCGAATATGTACTTCGCTCACCCCAGTTGTCGCAAAAACAGATTTTATCCTCAGTACTACACCAGAGGATCAGAGATTCCGGGTGAATCAGAAGGTTGTCCTGTAAGTTGTCTTAGCCATCAGGAGCAAATTCGCATCTTTACGGCATCTGATTAACGACATTGGATTTGCAAATAGGTTGTAGAGTTAGCTGCACTCTGTATGTGCAAATGTGGGATAACCAGATGATAGTATGACACATAAGTGCTCTACTCGAGAAGAAGGAGTGATAAATAGAGAGAGAAAGTGAGAGTCTCTCACATCTTCACAAGAAGAATCCACGTTCAGAGAAAATATCCAAAGCTACAAAACCATTTGCCGATATTAAATGTTTTAAGTTGAATGAATATTTGTACGTATGAGAGGTTTAGTCTCATTTTATGTGACGCTCTAAGACGTACAAAAATAAAAACTCAACGATAACGTTTCAGCGATAACGTTTCAATGATAACGTTTCAATAACATTTAAACGATAGTATTTTAATCGTAACATTTCAACGATAACGTTTCAACGATAACGTTTCAATGAGAACATTTCAACAATAACGTTTCAACGATAATGTTTCAACGATGACATTTCAACGATAATGTTTCAAGGATAACATTTCAACGATAATGTTTCAATGATAACATTTCAACGATAACGTTTCAACGATAATGTTTCAACAATAATGTTTCAACGATAACATTTCAACGATAACGTTTCAACGATAACATTTCAACGATAACGTTTTAACGATAATGTTTCAATGATAACAATTCAACAATAACGTTTCAACGATATCGTTTCAACGCTAATGATTCAACGATAACGTTTCAACAATAACGTTTCAACGATAACGTTTCAACAATAACGTTTCAATGATAACATTTTAACAATAACGTTTCAACGATAACGTTTCAACGCTAATGATTCAACGATAACGTTTCAACTATAACGTTTCAACAATTATATTTTAATCGTAACATTTCAACGATAACGTTTCAACGATAACATTTCAACGATAACATTTCAATGGTAACATTTCAATGATAACGTTTCATTGACAACGTTTCAACAACAAAATTTCAATAGTAACATTTCAACGATGACGTTTCAACGATAACATTTCAAAATAAACAAAGCAGGACGATGGAGTGTACATTGTTTGCTTTGCTTTGTCTCTTTAACGACGCCACATCCGTCAGAGGGTTATTAAGAGCCAATTTAAGTTGGTTGTATATGTTGTTTTTTTTTTGTCAAAAGGTGGGTGGTTTTGCTATTTGTATTATGTGAGTAGTGGGTTTTATTCTTTTTTTTATCTTATTATAAGGTTCTATTTCTTTTAGGACTTTCAAAATATTGTTCAGTTCTATGATTTGGAAGATGTATTTTATGTTCTGTGTCTGATAATGCTATGATCGAGTTTGGTTATTTTCTTTAAAATTCATAAATATAAGTTTGATTGGAAGAGGATATTGGCATTTGTTGTATGTTGGAGGTGGTTCATTTTTAACTAAATAAGACTTTGTGAGATGGGAGTGCCCAATTCGGTGCTTGGCCAGAACCGCATCATTGGCCAGGCTTCGAATTTGGCACAAATGACAAAAAAAAAAAAAAAACCCCGAACAGATGGCAAAGAGACATATATAAATTAAACTCAATATTAAAGATTATGGAATGGAAAAATATAAACAAAGTAATAGAAAGAATAGAGAAAAAATCCCCAAAACACCTGGTCTAGAAGATTGTGTAGCTTCATATTTCCCCATTGGTAGCAAGGCTTGGGTAAGGTAACATTTGACGGTAAGAAAAGTAGCTGTAACTTCGCATTAATAACCTTGGGAAAAGGCATGAATCCATCTCTTCCTAAGCTATGGGGTAAATAGGAAAGGGACCTATTTCTCTATGATAACTAATCTGAAATGTTTCCAATATGTATTGGGCCCATTCCAGGTGTTAATAAAACATATTTTGCAATCAGTATTACACCAGAAAGTAAGAGATATCAGGTCCATCAACAGGTTGTACTTTAAGATATCCTCCTAGACAACAGATGCAAATCTGTGCCTTAATTATGACAGGTGGTCCAGTTAGATGCAATTAATATAATCTATTGACTATTGGGTAGCAATCATTTTTTATTATACTAAAGTTCATCAATTAAAAGTCTCGAGAGCTACTCAAGGTAGTGGCTTATTGTTAAAATGGTTACGATGAATGCGGTATGTGATATGAATGAAAGTAAAGGTGGAAAAAGGGAATATCATGCGATAAAGAAGATGAGATATAAATTACAAACCAGGATGAAGGGATATTTGAGCATTTAATAGCTTACCGTACTAACAAATCAACCTCAACAGTGACATTCTTATTTCAAATTTTTAGGTAGATAGTGATCCACACTGACTCTCTTCATAATGACGTTTGGATTAGAAAGTCTCCTCACCGCTGATTTATTTACACCAGGAAGACCGATTTACAGCAACAGGTTCCCAAGTCTCAGGGTCGATGTTGGCCTGCGTCAGGGATGTCATTTTGAACGTGATACCAGGAGGGCCCGACTCGCACAGCCGCGTTCACATTCTTCTATGTCGCCTGCTCACAACTCTTCGGGAGTAGACTGGGTTTCCCAGCCATCTAGCCACCGCCACAAGGGAGGAAACAAAAAAGAATAGAGGCAGAGGATGACGATCCCGATGCTCAGATCAGTGTCGGTGCCGACGCGACTCACGATACTGCCTTTCAACTGCCCAGTTGCCATATTGTTTAACAAATTCTTTTTAATTGTCGCTTAGAACGAACCGTGTATGCCTGTCTATTTTGGTGCCATTCGTGGAAGGGTATCCTCTGCTAAATGACTGAGTATTTCAGAGTCATGATAGTCTACGCCCTAAAGGGAGATTGTATTTAAAAAAAAAAGGACCCATGAAGATGCTAGGATTGCGAAAAATTTCGAAGTTGGAATAATGGAATCTTTCCATATCTGGACTTGAATAAAATAAAGGAGAAAATATGGTTGTGTGCGGAGATTGCATTTTGGTATTTGCCACTGTTCAGTGTTCGCATACACGTACAAATAAGGGATTAAGAATACCGATTTTCTAGGTTACTAGAGCGACATTTTGGTGCAACATCGCTTTCGTACTATTTCCTTTATGTTTATCAGCACCAAGGTAAGCATTGGTTAAGATAAAATATTAAATGAAGGAGAGGAGAAGGCGGAAGAGGAGGAAGAGGAAGAACAACAACAAAAGGAAGAGGAGTAGGAGCAGGAAGAAGAAGATTGGAAGAAAAAAGAAGTTGAAAGACATGAGGAGGGGGAAGAAACAGAACAGAAGTTGAAGAAGAGGGTAAGGGGAGGAAAGAAGTTGAATATGAAAGGGGAGATGATAAAGAATAAAAATAGGAAAGAAAGAAGCTTGAAGGAGGAGGAAGAGGAGGAGGAAGAGGAGGAGGAGGAAGCGGCAGAAATTGAATAAGAGAAGAAGAAGAAGAAGAAGAAGAAGAAGAAGAAGAAGAAGAAAGAGGCTGAAAAACGAGAACCGAGGAGGAGGAGAATGAAATTCTGAAGAAGGAAGATTTTCAACGAGCGGAGGAAGAAGAAAAATTAATTGAAGAAAAAGAGGAGGAGGAGGATAAGAAAGAAGTTGAAGAGGAGAAGGGGGAAGAGGAGACGGAAGCCGATCTAGAGAAAGATGATGATGTAGAAGAAGAAATGAAGGAGAAAGAAAAAAAATTGAAGTGGAAAAGGAGGAGGGGGACAAAAGAAATTACAAAAGCCGAAGAAGAAGAAGAAAAAGAAGAAGAAGAAAAAAAGAAAGAAAGAAAGAAAGATGTCAACATGAAGAAAGACCAAATGTCCACATTCATCATTTGTCCACTGGGGCTCGGAAGCCGGTTGCTTCCTTCCGGCCGTCGACAAAGAGTAAGTCAGAATAAAAATGTTCCTTAGCGAAGGGGATTAGATCGTTGTAGACTTATCGGGAATGTTCCGCCGTGTTTGGTAATCTGTGTCTGTCCACCTGGGGACAAACCAAGGCAGAGAGATATGCGGACATCGAACCAGCCCATTAGGAATTGGGTCTTGGAGCGGTCCATTAACGCGTTGTCAGTAATCTGTAAATCTTACCCCACTACACTACACGTGACACAGGAAGAGAGGCCGGATCATATTTGCTTTAGTTGAGTCTGGGCGGGCGTCTCTATATGGAGACAGACGCAAAGACCAAAACATGAAGGTACACCCGAGCTTACCGGCGCGAGCACGCGCACGCGTATGCGCACACATACGAACACAAACACACACGCGCACAAATAGACAAACACACGAACGCACGCACACTCACATACACACAACTAAAACGCATATATTTTATTAAAGGCAACTGTATCGCTTATATCTGATATGAAGGAATTATTCAGTTTCTTTCGAGCTTTTTTTAACTTGTCATATAATATTTAATAGTTTGAAGCTTTCTTTAACTAGTCAGCTTCTTTGATATTTCAAGCCTTCTTTAACTTGTCTGTTTTTTTTTTTATATTAGGTTGTCCCAAAAGTTCGTAAACACTTGAGAAAAATTGAATTTTTATGCAACACAATCAAGCACAATCGAGACAAGCGATGGGTTTAGAAAGGGCAAGAGACACCGTCGGTTCCAAAACAAGATCGATTCGGCAAGAAAGTCATGTTGTGCGTTTGGTGGAACTTTGAAGGAATCGTACATTTTGAGTTGGTTCCGAATGGTCGTGCCATCAGTGCCGAACTTTACTGTCAGCAACTGGAGCGGGTCTACGAAAAGTTGAAGCAAAAGTACCCGGCTCTGATCAACCGAAAGCGCGCTTTGGTGCAGCAGGACAATGCCAAGCCACACACCGCCAGGAAGACCGAAGACAAGTTTGAAGAGCTGGACGGCGTTGAGGTTCTGCCACATCCAGTCTACAGTCCTGACTGTGCTCCATCAGATTACGGCCTTTTCCGCTCAATGCAACACTTTCTGAAGGGCCACCGATTCGACTCGTTTGATGAAGTCGAGGAAGCGTGTCAAGAATTTTTTGATTCGAAGCCGGCTGAATGGTACTTTCACCAGATCCGAAAGCTTGCAGATCGATGGCAGAAAGTCTTGGAAAATGATGGTCTTTATTTTGAGGAATAATTTTTGTTGTTTTTGTTATTACTTGGCGAGTAAAATTTCATTTTTTTGCAAGTGTTTACGAACTTTTGGGACAACCTAATATTTGAAGCCATCTTTAAATTGCCAGTTTCTTTAATATTTGAGGCTTTAAAGTGTCAATTTCAAGCCTTCTTTTACATGTCAGTTTCATATTTCAAAGTTTCTTTAATTTATTAGTTTCTCTGATATTTCAAGGCCTTTTTAACCTGTCCAGTTTTCTTTTTTTTTTAATTTTAAGCTTTTTTAAATTGTCAATTTCAGATTTCAAACCTTCACTTATTTGTCCATTTAGTATTTCAAGTCATCTTTAACGTCAATTTCTTACACTATTTACATTATTCGGACTATTGTCCTCATCTATGTCGCCATCTTTATCACAACGTTTCAGCCGTTGTATGCTCCGGACTTCTTCAGGTGTTTGCAATGTCGAACTGAACCCTTTATTTCGCTCACTGGGGTAGACTGTTCTAGTTCCACGTGACATGTCTAATGGATGTCAGTTATCTCCTGTTAATTCTCCTTTCAAAGTTCTCCACCACCTTAACCAGGTATTGAACTTACACTCTTTGGGTCCTGACAAAAAGCAATAATAAGAACAAAAATTGCAATATGAGCTCTGGTAAAAAAAAACAAAAAAAACATGCAGTGATAACAGCAAAAATTGCAATATGAGCACGGGTAAAAAATTATTTCTGAAGACATTAGGTTTATAATACCAAGAAATTCATACACACATTGCACAGTGGATAAAGGCGTTAGTTAGATCCAGTGACAGTGGTTCAGTTCAATATTCCAACCACCTGAAGAAGGCCGGAGCGTACAACGGCCGAAACGTTGTGATAAACATGGCGACAAAGATGACAATAGTCCGAATAATGTAAATAGTGTACATAATACCTCATCTCAGAAATATAGACAGGTCAGTTTCTTAATAGTTTAAGCTTCATTTAACTTTCCAATTTCTTTGAATGTTCACGTCTTCTTTAACTTGTCAGTTTATTTGATATTTCAAGCTTCCTTTAACATATCTGTTTCTTTAGTATTTTAAACTCATTTTAAATTGTCAGTTTCTTAATATTGTAATCTTTCTTTAACTTTTCAGTTTCTTTAATTGAAGATTTCAAGCTATCTTTATCTTGACCGTTTCATTAAGATTTCAAGTTTTCTTCTTTCATTTTCTTTAATACGAGATGTTTTGAAACTTCCGATGGACGTGTCATATCTCCTTCAATTCTGAACACCACACATTAGCTTGTTTAAAAGAGCCGAATACACGTGATATATGATTGACAAATAAAAATCAAGCGACACAAAGGTAAAAATACAGGAATATCTTTCTATTTGTTCGCCATATCTCAGTCTCTCCCGAAGCTTTAATAAAAGTAAACATGTCAGAATGATAAACGTTTCCTATTTCTTCTTTATCTTATACTAGCAGTAGAGCCCGGCGTTGCCCAGGGATGTAACAGTAGGTCATAGATCAAGTATCGACCATCATAAAGATTGAAAATAAAATTGACAAAGATTATTGTTTAAGGTTGACGGACACGCATGTCTTAATTATTTTTATTTTTTTTTTTTTATGAATTGGTCAAACCCAAACTCAAAACAAAAACATTGTTTTCAACGATTGAATAGAATTTTATTATAAACAATTGTTTGTAAATGGAATTTTTTAAAGCATTCTGAATGTAAAAAATAAAGAAAAAAGTGTGCAAGACAATAAGAAACACTACCTGACAAAAAAAAGTGAGGTTTTGCTGAAATCTGTTGTTGAAAATGTAGGAAATCCGATCCCATATATAAACGAACACACACACACACACACACACACACACACACACACACACACACACACACAACCTGGGTTTTATAATAAGTATAACTCGATATGAGTTGTCCTCCTTTCATTCTGGCGACAGAATTGTGCTTTATCATGTTTTCAAATTGATTTCGTGCAAAAACAATTGTGTTTTTTCTTCCAATTTTGGGCGCTGTCAGAACCACCGCAAGGTAATTTTACGTAGTCCTGTGAAGTTTTGTTGAAATCGGTTGAAAAATGTAGGAAATCCGATCCAATATATAAACGTAAAGACACAGACACACACACACACACAATCTGCGTTTTATAATAAGTAAGATTCTGGTGGATTCTCATTCATAGTTGACCTATATTTGATACCAAACACATCGTTTCGAACATCCTTCTCTTGTATTTATCCAGTTTGTGTGTTTCTGTCGTTTTGTCCGTAAGGATAGAAATACACAACTAGAGAAATACAATAGAAGGATGTCCGAAATAGATGCAGAGATCACCAAAATAGCTAGTAAGTTAAATATTGCAGATGAAGGTGGGAAAGATCCAAACTACGGATGTCTACATTTTATTTAAGGACCATAAAGAGAACTTCACCAACAGTACACAATTTAGACCTAATAGATACAACAAAAAAAGAACTAGGTCTTATCTCAAAAAATATAATTAAAAAAAATAACCAACAATTTACAAATCACAACTAGTACTAACCTTTGGAAAGATTCATCTAAGACTATTAAATGGTTCACTAATATGAGGAATAAGGATAAAGCGACGTTAATTAAGTTTGGTGTAGTTGGCTTCTATTCCTCTATCACTAGGGACCTCCTGGTCAATAGTATCAACTTTGCAAAGAACTATATAGAAATAGCAAATGATGAAACTAATATCATCTTAACAGCAAGAAAGTCACTGCTAACACTGAATAATTCTACCTGGACTAAGCGCCACAATGAGGAAATTCGATGTCCCTATGGGAGTGTATGACTCAGCCGATGTTGCAGATTTAGTATGTTTTACATTTTAGATATGCTTAGTAGAATCGTAAAACCGAAACTAACAGGGATATCGGGACGACAGACTCATCCTCATCCTTAATAGTAAGGGTTCATCAACAGAGAAATTACAAAAGAAAATTACGGCCTTCAAATTCCTAGGGTTTAAGATCGAGATTTCCTCTAACCTTAAAATAGTTGACTACCTAGATATCACCCTTAACCTTAATGGTAAAACCTTTAAACCTTACCATAAAGAGGACGAAACACTCAACTATATTAATATCGGTTCTAACGATTTAATGCAATCCTAAGACAAATACCCACTACCATTTGCCCCAGGATTAGTAAACTATCATCCATTGAAAAAAAAAACTTTAATAAAAATAAAGAACTATACAAAAAGGCCCCCCAAAAAAGTGATTCCAAAAGTAAACTGTCTTACTACGACCACCATTAGTAATACCGATACACTAAAAGTGGAATATAGGTGTAAAAATAGGAAAAGAAAAAATCACTTGATTCAACCCCATTTCTGTAAACTGTCAAGTATCAACATCGGATAGTACTTCCTAAATCTAATTACTAAACACTTCAAAAAAAAAAAAAATCCTCTAAATAAGATATTCAACAGCAAGTCAATCAGAATTAGCTACTCCTGCACTGATGATATGTACCAAATTATTAATTCCCATAACAATTACATTTTAAGTAAATTCCATGTGAAAAAAATTAAATCGAATATGGAAGCCCCCTGTAATTGTAGAATTAAGGAAAACTGCCCAGTAGAGGGCCAGTGCAGATCCACTAGGGTAGTAATACCAGGCAACCATTACCCCTAAAGAAAATACAACAAATCATAATATTTACATCGGCATTTCTTCTGGAGAATTTAAAAAGAGAATCAATAAACACAGACATTCATTCACCAATCCAAAATTAAAACACCAAACAGCCCTTTCGAACAAAAAATTTGAAATTGAACGAAAATGGTCTGAATCCTAAAATAAAATGGAAAATTCTAGGTTTCGCAAACACCCCCAATAGTTTTAGGGGTAGGTGCAAGCTATGTTTAGAAGAGAAAATCAGGATAAAAAAAATATAAAGATCAATGCAAACTATTAAATCAATGAGAGAACTAATCACGAAATGAAGACATAGAAATAGATTCAAAATTACATAAGAATACATTTGCATATATGTGGGGGCGTATGTGTACGTATAGTGGCATATACATATGAACATGTAAATGTACACATAAATGTATGTATAAAGGTATGTACGCATATAAGTATGTTGGACAGCGTGAGTTATTCCATTGGGTGCCCTGGTATTACCCATAATGTATAAATCTATAACCCAACTAATCTACATTAATCTTAACAGACTTAAGTTTAAATCCCACATCGCTTAGTAGTACGAAAACTATTTACTGCGAATCCCAGAAAAGACACACACACACACACACACACACACACGCGCGCCTGGGCCTTTATAAAAAATAAAAAAAACACCACATAATAGGAATTGATATTAAACTAAAAACAAAAAACCCTAGCAACATATAAACTCCAAACCCAGACCGCTTCCCGCGAGATAAGTTATACCACCACCAATCGCTAACACAAAACTACTCTCATTAATAAGGCGCCTACTAGATGAGGACTGACTTTAAAAATAAATTTAGAACAATACTCCAAGACAAACACTTAGAGGCTGACAATCGCCGTGTGAAGAACGGTGTGTTATAGACTTTACCTATGTTGAGGTAATTTTTAATTTTGACTGTTATATATATATATATATATATATATATATATATATATATATAAAGAACAGTAAGATATATAATCCGGTGTTCTTATAGATATTTTATTTTTACAAAATAGTATCATTATAAATTTACAAACATTAATATTATAAATTAATTGATTTAAAATATGTTTTTTTTTCCGTTACACAGTTGTTTCATGTTTCAAAATTAAATTCTAAGCTTTTATTTCCATTTTTGAAACATGGTTAGAACTGTGTAGCGGAAAAAAACATATTTTGAATCAATTATATATATATATATATATATATATATATATATATATATATATATATATTACTGTCCACCTTTGCAATACAGAAAATTACTTGTTGGCAACTACAATATACTCACGAAAATAAAAATGAAACATTTTAATTTCTCGAGGCCCTCTATATCAAAATCGAACAACTAACACAATTTATTATGAATAACGTGCCAGTAACAGCACCCTTATATTGAAACACTTGTTTTGTACAAAATTTAATAACTCCAATGGATAAATTCAATAACTCTCAAATAACCATAATCTATATCTCGCGCGTCTTTTAAAACCGATACAATATATTTGTCGTTGTAATTTAACCCTGAAGATGATCTTAGAAAAGGTCGAAAGCATTTGGTTTAACAAAAAAACTACTGCGCCTTCATTGAGGCATTTCATCTCAACATCAAGAATCTGATTGGACAACTGGAAAGGATCAATATAAAAATAAGTAGACATAATATGTCTACATTATCCACTCAAACACACACACACACACACACACACACACACACATATATATATATATATATATATATATATATATATGTAGAGAGAGAGAAGAGAGAGAGAGAGAGTGATATCGCATAATTAGAAAGGAACTTATAGGCGGCTATTTATATTTAGGTTTATTTGTAAGTATACGTGTCTGCATGCATATATGCAAAAGTTCTTTATCATTTTTCAGCTCAAGGCCCCAAGCTAGTCATATATCATTATGGCATTAGCCGATCCAGCAGAATCTTTCGCGGAAGGCAAGGTTGGTATTAACGTTCAGATTTCACTTACCCTCTCTCTTCATATTTAAAAGCAAAGTTGAATGAATTGCATATCTTTGTCGACAGACAGCAAGAGCAGTGTGCATAACGTCTGTTTCCTGTTTGTCTTTCAGTAATTAACAAAAAAAAAAAAAAAAAAGAAAAAAAAAGGAAAGAATATTTGGCCAATAAGCGCGAAAGCGAAATGCATTTGATGGTCATTCGATGCAATCAGCTGCAGTAAGCCATTATCTGCAAAGAGGGCGAACTGATTTCGGACATGGTCTCAATCTCGTCTTTCCGGAAAGTGACAAGAAAAGTAAAGTTGGTTGCTGGATTGTGAAAAAAATAATAAAGAAAAGTGAAAAAAGAAAGAAAGAAAGAAAGAACAAAAGAGAAATTAATAAAAAGAAAAGAGAAAAGAGATCGAGGGAAAAAAAAAAGAAGAAAGATTTGAAAGGCAAATTAGAAGAAAAATGAAAAAAATCGTAAAAAGAAAGAAATATTAAGAAATATTTGAAAGGTAGAAAATAAAATCTAGAAAATAGAAAGAAAAAAAGAATTTAAGAAAGAAAGAAAATTACGAAAATAGTAACAAAGAAAAAAATGAAAGAAAGATTTGAAAGATAAAAAGAGAAATAGAAAAAAGAATTAAAGAAAAAAACTAAGATTTAAAATTGAAGAAAATAGAAAGAAAGAAAGACAAAAATGAAAGATAGAAAGAAAAATGAAGAAAATAAAAAAGAAAGGAAAAGAAAGATTTGAAAGGTAGAAAAAATAGAGAAAAATAGAAAAATAAAGAAAAATAAAGAAAAGTATGAAAGCCTAGAAATAAAAATAAAGAAAATAGAAAGAAAGATAAAAAAAAGAAAGATTTGAAAGATATAAAGAAAAAAATGAAAAATAGAAAAAAAGAGAAGAAAGGTTTGATAGCTAGAAAGAAAATGAAGAAAGAAATGTATGAAAAGAGGAAAAAAAGGTTTGAAAAGCAGAAAGAAAATATAAAAAATAGAAAGTGTGCCAGCAGGCAATACAATAATGAACAGTATAAAGATCATAGTAATATTAGACAGTTACTCACAAAAAATACCAAAACATTAGCAAAATCAAACATTAAAACTTAGTTATGATCCTCGAAGCAATGCTCATACAGCAAAATCAACCATCTATATATAAGAAAGTATATAATTTAATAGCCTGCATGTCCAACTCTATATAAACGAAAACCTTTAATAATATTTGCCTAGAAAATTTGCTGCCTAAATACACAGAATTTCTTTATTTAATATATTCCTTCCTTAGGTACTGCGTATGATTAACGTTTTGACGATCATGTCTCTTTTCGACTGATGATTACTTTGACAGAATAATTCCCGCAGTAGTCTTCCATTACTTCCTACCGTAGACTGGCTGGTAACTAGACCCAATCTGTTCCGTTATTTGCCTTATATCTGGGTGGGGGGGATTGAGGAGAAGAGATATAGTCATACCTTTCCCAAGACTATTTGCGCGAAAATGAATGTAACGAACTCGACTGGAATTCGAACTCCGCTTT